TGTGGCAGAGAAATCATGGATCTTTGGGATCGCATTTGCAACATTCTTCGAGCCCGGTAATAGAAAATCCTGAGTGATCATATCATTGATCAAGATCTAGGCAGATTTAGCTTGAAAGATGATGTTTTTTCTTTGGTGTGTCTATTTCATTTTTTGCAGAAAAATCACTGTTAAGGATTTGTCAAAAAAGCGGTGTATGGATCTTCGGCTACTTCATGGAATTGCTTATGGGCATTCATGGTTTGGGAGGTGGGGCTATAAGTTCTTCCGTGGAAGTTATGGGATGACACAACACAGTTACTATAGAGCAATTGAAATTATCAGTTCTTTGGAAGTTGATAAAGTTGTATCAGAATTTGGGAATGAAGAATTCAGTAGGGAAATCAAACAGATTATTAGTCATTATAGAAATAAGAGTGAAGCTCAGTTGATCACCTTGAGGTATCTTCTGAGGTTTATGCTCACAGTCAAATCATGTTCTCTGTCACAAAACAGATTGGCCATGACTATTACAGATGGTCCATCTCTTATGCTTAATTCTTCAAACCGAACAACCCTGGAAAAGCACACTCTAGTACGGAAGGAACAAAAGGTCATAAAATATAGAAGATTCAGTACTATGGTGAGTTCTCTGGGTAGCGGATGGCCTGTGAGAAGGCTAGAATTTGCAGCAGAGGTGATTGTGGAGGCGTTGAAGGAGAAGAAAGCTGCCAAATTTGGTTGTGGTGGGATGACTCGACAAGATGTGAGAGATGCAGCTCGGATGCGTATTGGAGATACTGGGTTGCTGGATTATGTGCTGAAGTCAATGAACAATGTGATTGTTGGACGCTACATTGTTCGCCGTGCAGTAAATCCAGCAACTTGAATTTTGGAATATACAACTCCTGAACTTGCTGATGGTTTCAGGACCAAAGAATCAGAACCAGAAGTAGTTCAAGAGCGGATTCGAGGTCCTGCTTTGGTGCCAGGAATTGATGTGTATAGCGATGTTACTGTACCGTATACAAATCTTTTGCTGAATTATCCAGAATCAGAAACAGTGGAAACGTCAGTTCAAACAGTTCTGGACAGCAAGCACTTTGTTAAAGATTGGTCCTTCAGAGACGATAAGGAACAATCATTGATAGTTTTTTATCAAGTGAAGCCAAGTTTGATTGATTTAGAGCCTACAAGCGCTAAGGAATTACTGCCAGGTGAATTGGTTGTGGTTCCATATCATGTCACATTGTTGGACCTAAAGAAATCTATTGCAAATGCACTAAGGGACACCTACTATGGTATGGATAGATTTGTAGTGACAGATATAGAAAATCTGGAAGAGATGGAGGACAGGCAGATGCTTTCTGGGAAAGTTGAATCGGGTGCTCAACTTGTCGTGAGAGGAAGTGGGATAGACTTGGGTTCCAAGTTTAGGTATCCAGGTGGTACTGAGAATTGGATGGAGAGATGCGCATGTGGAGTCCAAGACGATGATGGTGAGAGGATGGTGGCTTGTGACCTTTGCGAGATTTGGCAACACACACGCTGCTGTGGAATTGAGGATTCAGTTCTGCCACCACTTTTTATCTGCTTAAGCTGCTGTGATGGTCTTGCAACACAAAGAACTGAACCTCTCATTGAGTTTGGGAGTTGAAACCTCTTATTGAGTTCGGGAGTCCTAAAGATCTGATACTGGAACGTCCGACAGTCTATGGACATGGGACAGAGCTCCTAGCCCCACAATGAAACAGAAACTACTGTAATAAGTGCGAGCTAGAGAGGAATGATGTATAATTCATTTTTTTTTCTTTTTTCTCCTCAGAAAACAATAATAGATGTGTCTTTCTAACTAGCATGACGTGATAAATATAGTGCAGCAAATTATATGTAGGTTTCTTCTACAGCTTCTTCTGAAAGTAAAAAAAAAAAAAATTGCTTTTAATGTCAACATCCTTCAGTTGAAGATCCATTGAATGTTCAGTTGAAGAAAGCTTCTACTTTCTTATCTAAGAATTCTGTAAACCAAACCTCAGTTACAGTAATTCTACCTATTGAGCTACAGCCAATTTCCAATCAGTGTTCCTGGAAGTAGTACAATCAGTCATCTAAAGGCTTACATGACTCAACTTCCATCATTTTAAAATTCCAGATCTGCTCAAACCAAACCAGCATTATGCTTGAGATTGAAAGGAATGAAGCTGTGACGCAAAGCAGCTCGCAACCCGCAACTCGCTATCAGTCCACAGCCCTTGTCCCTATAAAGTGCAGGATAATTTTCTCTTAAAACAAATTCTGGTATTCAGTTGAATTTGCTAGCATACTGCCAACCCATTTTCATACCAGAATACCAACATATTCTGATATATTCCCTACCTATCAATTATGGCTGACCAGCTCACCTCTTTCTCTTCCTATAAATCCTGTTGTTCTATTCTTCTTCTGTATATACAAAAATAAAAACAAAAAGGCTGTGAATTGTCCAGTTTTTTGGGATTAATAGAATTCCCATTTTACATTTCTCTTAAGTTTTTTGACTGAGATTTTATATCTTTTCTAAGTAAAGATGAAAGTGAGATTTAGTATATCTTCTTGAAAACCAGAACTACAAAAATGATGGGTGAGATGGCGTGACGAATACAAAAAAAGCCTACATTATTTTATTGTTTCACCACTCTTATCGTAATCTTTCTGAAAAAAAAAATCATATTTTTGTCAGGCGTCATCACTCTAGAAAGTAGCAGTTCTTCTCTTTATCCAATTTTTAACCAGAAAGAATTGAGGGGTCTTTTCTGCTTTTCCTTTTTCTGGATTCTTGCGTAGGATCTGCTTGGATGCAACCTATAAGTATTATCCACTCTAGAAAGTAGCAGTTCTTCTCTTTATCCAATTTTTAACCAGAAAGAATTGAAGGGTCTTTTCTGCTTTTCTTTTTTCTGGATTCTTGCGTAGGATCTGCTTGGATGCAACCTATAAGTATTACCCACAAAGATGCCAATTTAAAGTTTAGCAAATATGACGTGAAAATTATCACAATCTTCCTTCTGTTTCTGCAGCTTATGGGAAGGGAACAAAAAGATGAAGACATAGCAACTATTCCAAAATTTTCATTCACATACATCTAGGATATGATTGAGGTTCCAAAGAAATCTTTCTTTTTTCATCTTTTTCTTAGCAACCCATTAAAAAAGAGTGTAATAAGTTCCATAGATACACCCACTTTCTGCGTGCATTTCATATATAGTTTCCAACACTTATTCTCATGATAGAACAAAATAGCATCAGTATGACTCTAAATAATCAAGCACAAACAACTTGGAGAAGAGAATAAGCCACTAAATACCTAACAATTTACACAGAGAAACTTTTTTATGCATGCTTGCCTCAAAATGACACATCAAACAACTGATATCAACCTAAACAAGCTGATTATTGCAGAAGTGGTGAAAATTCCTTCTGAGAAAAATATTATGATATGATATTCATACAAGAAAACCATCATCAAAGTTGAGATGATAGCTCTGAAGATCGTAATTGTAGTGTACAATCTTGGTGTTGTGCCATCCCAGAGTTTGCTTCAACTGTGACTTGAACTTCCAGAAAAGCTGCCTCCAGATATATGGTGATTTATGGGTGTGAACACTGAGAGGGGAAATATCTCCAGAACCAGAGCTAGCAATTCTCTTCCCCCACCTCATGAACTGAAGCCTCTTCAAGCTCTGCATGCTCATAAATTTCATTGCTGCTATTTTTGAGATCTTTGTGTGTGTGTGTGTGTGTGTGTATTGATGGATTGAAGAGGAGATTGTTAGGTGAAATATGAAATGAGGTTGAAAAAAAGACTTATGAAATAATATTTCACTTTAAGAGAATCAAATTCCCACTAAGCCTAACAAGCAACACCACGGATTGTGCCAGATCACCTGTCTATTCATGGTACGAAAAAATAAAAAAATAAAAAAAAACATCATCATCTTCAATTGCAGTCCTTTCATCTTTATCTTTTCCAATCAATTCCTCGACCCATGATGGAATTGGAGGAACAAAGACATGGTGTTGGTGATTTCAGTGTTCTGTTTTTTGAGGTTTTCCAATTGCCGATCTGCAATAAACATTACTTATAGGAACTTGAACAGTATCAAAAGTACTGTAATTTTGTAAAGCTTCTATCTTTAAATTGATTAAAGAAGAGATAGAATCAGGCAAAAAGTTTCCTTTTTGTGAATTTTCTCTTCTGTTTTACTCAAATAATACTGGGTTAGCTTTCCCAGGAAGCATCCATTGCCTAAGCGAGTGAAAGGGACCACCATTCATAACATTCCTCTGTTTCAAATTTCAGTCAAGAATTTTGATTGCACTCCATGGAATAAGGGCCCTACAATGATGAAGCACTGTGCATATATGTATATATTTTTTCTTTATAAATATATATACACATATTTTCTTTGAGGAATACAAATCGGTTGGTTACCAAACTACGCCAAAACTTGATAAGGGAAAGGATAATATTCCACAGAAATGAGAATCTACAGACAAATATTCCATATAAAGGAGAAATATATTTAATTTATAATTAAATTACTAAAATACCCCTACTACCTAAAACAAAGAAATGGGCATACATAAATATATATATGGGTTGAAATATTTGGAAGCCCTAAGGAGAAAATTAAGGAATTGATTATTCTTCTGGCAATATGCAGTTCATGAATATTGGATCAAAAGCCTGATTCATTTCAGATTAATGGAGGAGCATACTAAGTGAGTTTTATAATATTTGAAAATTATTTAGATTTTATAATGCTAATTGTGAAACTATTTGTTAATTATATAATTTTAAGAAAAATACATATTATCACTAAATTACGTTTTTAAGTAAAAATATTGGATCAAACTTATCTCTGAACAAAAATTAAGAATTTGAGAGATCTGAAATAATTATTTACTTTTGATGAAAATATGAATTGATTTTAAAGTTTGTTTTGATTCTACAAACTGGATAAATATTGTCAAAATTTGTTTTTTTATACATATAAAATAAGAGTAAATATTTTTTTCAGTCTAAGATGTATGTATCATCTACACCATGTTGAATAAAAATAGTTTTAAATATCATTTAATGCTACATTTTTCTTAATATATACCTAAATGAGTTATTACAATCATCTTCAGGCATGAATGAAACTTGAAGCAAGAACAGGTGCTCTGGATAGATAATCATAATTGGTTTAATTAATATTTCATAATTAGTTTAACTAGGATTAATTAAATAGTGTATTTCAAATTCCATCAAATTTCATTCCAAGCAGAATTAGAAATTAATTTCACATAAAAAGAAAATTAATTTTATTGCACTTCATAATCTGTTTATATGTACTAGTATCTGCATTGCATCACACCAGAAACTAAAATCCCATCTATGGAAAGTTCTTCTTTTCAGGATCCTTGCAAAACTCAGAACATAATAAGCCAAAAGCAAAGACGACAGGCCACACAGATATCTTAATAGGATTATTAACATGGTGGCTTAAAAACCCATAATTAATCGCTGCAAAGATGAACTGAAATCCAGCACAGGTTAAACCAACGATATCTGTGAAAGTACCAAAACGCATTTGACTTGAAGATGGATAGTAAAACCAAGATCTCCTGCCTCTCCATCTCCATGTTACATTTTGGCGTCTACCCTTGTAAACGAGCTCAATGATGCAGATGAACATGGCCACGAAAGATATCAACATGCCAATTAGTGCACACCTCGGCTTATCAGAAGACGAAAGTTGATCAAAAACAGCTGCCAGAAGCTCCAACACGAAGTTGGCAATAGCAAAGAGCTGCTCCAAAGTTGCCTGCAAAAATAAAATTAGAAACTCAGATGAGGAGAAGCAGAAGTTAGCCACATATTCAAATTATGTAAGAACTCCGATATTATCATTTACCTTGGACAATTTGAAAAATGATACTTCTGTCCTTTCTGCATTGACATTTGTTACCTCTATGGTAATATATTCCTTTTGGCGGATATAATTTTCTGCCGGGTTATTAGAACCGCTGGGACTGATATGATGCACATTTGACATGATTATGTATTCCCTCTCAGCCATTAAACATATTCTATCTAATGGAAAAACTCTTCTACATATCAAAATATATAGAAATTTACTTACATTATCAAGTGATTTGATGTTATTTTTTCAGCAGGATAAGAGATTTTCTTTGAGGGTGCTGCAATATTGTTGACAAACTAATAAGCATACGGATTAGTCAAAATCTAATTCAAGAAAGAATGACTCATTAGTATATCGTTAGAGTTTCAGTGATTAATTTGGGTTTAGTCTCAGTAAAACTATAGTTTGTTTCGGGTAAGTTAAGTACCTTTAATTAGGGTAAAACAATGTGTTAAAAACTCGATTTTTTTTATTCACTAAGAAAAAATAAAGAGGAATAATCTTGTATACCTTCTGATACTCCTGAGACTCTCTTCACTGTCCTATACATCTGTAGTTCAAGTAGCAATAAAGGATTTATAAAGATGAAGCAGCAGACTATGGCACAGCTAGGTTGAAACACACTATAATATTTTACAGAGGAAAACCTCATAGAAGAAGAAGAAGAAGAAGAAGAATATGTACATGCAAGTGGCTTTTAACATGAGCAAGGGTCAAATCCTTCACATTCATGAGCTGCAGAACTTCTTTTGGAGCTGCCCCTGGGAATCAGTTTTGTACAAGTGAGATATACACAATGCATATATAAGGCCTATTGACCTTCATGAGAGAAAAAAGAAATGATATGGAGAAAGGAGGATCACACACTTTCAGGGCCACCAAGAGCATTAACGGCATTCACAAAGGCACTGTGAAGTGTTGTAGTCCATCGAATACGTGGCACTTGTCGCCTGCAGGCTTGGGTAGATTGTGCTGTTCGAGACATCTACAGCCAAGGTGAGAAGATGATCTCCACTGAGAAAGAAATTTGGGAGAACAATGTTCATGTGCGCAGGTTCAAACACATAATATTTGTGAAGTTAAAACAGTAGCAAGTGAATTTTAACACAATGGATGGTCAAGTTCTTTACATTCATGAGGTGAAGAACACTTCCATAACATGTATAACTCAGGTAAGAAAATTTGAAAAAATAAAAAATAAAGTTCATATACCTGCAAGTGGGGTTTTTTTTTTTTTTTTTTTTTAAAAAAAGTTTTCATGCCAGTGTAGATGTGTGTGCGTTTGTATGTATATATACATACATATATAGATAGTATCTGTATTTGCTTCCATAAGTTTGCTTGGAAACTTCAAAGAAATTTTCCCTAATGGAATAAGGCAAAGACTTGAACAGATGAAAGGAGCCTGCTTTATTAAAATGGATGGTCTTTGTTCCTTTTTTTGGTGTTTGACCAACCTTTAGATCTTTAGTTTTTGAAGTGGGAAATGGTAAATTAAACTTTGATTAATTTGATGGAGTGTGATAAGGCTTCTTTAAGGATTTAAAAAATATTGGGAACAAATTTGCCTTTATATATGTTTAGTTTTCTTTTTCCTCCTTTTAATTCCAAATTTTCTATTAAAAAAAAGGTAAAAATGGTATGTGTACATAATCTATTGCAAATAATTTAGTGGTAAATTATCCTTTTAGAGGGTAATACCTGAAAATGTTTTTCATTATGATTCCAAAATTTCTGGATTCTTGCATAGGATCTGCTTGGATGCAACCTAGAAGTATTACTCACAAAGATGCCAATTCAAAGTTTAGCAAACTGTGATATGAAAGTTAGCACAACCATCCTTCTGTTTATGTAGTGGACAGGAAGAGAATAAAAAAGAGGAAGATACAGCAACTATTCCAAAATTTTCATACACACGTCTAAAATATAACTTAAGGTTCGAAATAAATCTTTCTTTTTCATCTTTTTCTCAGCAACCCATTAAAAAATTGTAATTTTAAAAGTATTCCAGTTAAAGGAAAAGAAAATAAGGTCCGGTCCATAGATGCACCCAATTTCTGCATGCATTTCATATGTAGTTTCCAACAATTATTCCCATCGTAAAACAATATAGCATCAGCATGGCTCGAAATAATCAAGCACAAACAACTTAGAGAACAGAAAGCCACAAAATACCCAACACAAAACTCCAGTTAGTTAAAAACCCCAACACAAAACCATTGGAGGAGAAAGGAAAAGCTCCAGTCTTTTGCCTTCAACAATGTCGATCCCTATTTTTTAAACTTGTAGGAAGAAAAAGAGGAGGCCAAATATATTTGGGTTTCACAAATTTTTAGGACTCGGGTACCCAATGAGCCTCACGGGTTCTTTTCGGAACAATGTGTGGATTTTCTTGGAGGAATATGCTGAGCTTCAAAATTACTAGATAATAGAAATGCCCGTCTGGTGTACTCATCTTGTTCACAAGACCAAGAACGTGGTTATTCCTCTGTACACGGTCGTCGATAAAGTTTGCAGCTCCATTAACCCTCGCTGCGGTCACTGCAGATTCAGTGGTTAGATTTTGAAAATCCACATACCCTTTTTCATTTTAATGCATGGCTTGATTTTCTCCGATGGGTTTGGAAAACATTATCAGATCTAATGGAAACTATTGAAATGCTGATACAAGTTAATCAACTTCCAAAGAAGTCAGAATTTCAATTGCTCTGTTGTAACGTGTTGTGTCACCCCATAACTTCCACGGAAGAACTTATAACCCACCTCCCAAACCATGAATGCCCATAAGCAATTTGATGAAGTAGCCGAAGATCCATACACCGCTTTTTTTGACAAATCCTCAACAGTGATTTTTCTGCAGAAAAATGAAATAGAAGTATCAAAGAAAATCATCATCCTTCAAGTTAAATCTGCCTAGAACTTGATCAATGATATGATCACTCAGGATTTTCCATTACCGGGGGGTCGAAGGATATTTTCGCAAATACTATCCCAAAGATCCATGATTTTTCCGCCAGAAGCAAATTGGGATCCTCCTTCAATCCCGTCTGTGAATATTAGACGACCAAATCCGTTACAGTGGATCTCTACATGCAAGAGGTGTGTGCAGAGACCTAAAGCAGCATTCTTAAGACGCATTTTCCATTCAGTATCAGCGGGAATTATCAGATGATACTTACGTTTAGACAATAATTGCTCACTCCAACCTTTAAAAAGAAACAAAAACCAAAATCAGCAAAAAACAATCAACAAAAATGGAAAATCCCCAATACAAAAAAGTAACACTAGATACCAAATCCCTAACTAAAAACAAGAAAGACCCATCTGAGAAAATCAAGCCATGCATTAAAATGAAAAAGGGTATCTGGATTTTCAAAATCTAACCACTGAATGAATCTGCAGCAATCGCAACAAGGGTTCTTCGAACACTCGACTTTCTCTACGACCGTGTACAGAGGAACAACAAAGTAATTTTGAAGCGCAGCACATTACTCAAGGAAAATGCGCACATTCCTGCGAAAAGGACACGTGAGGCTTATTGGGGGGAACCCGGGTTCTGCAAAGTTGTGAAACCCGAAAATCTTCGGCCTCCTCGTTTTCTTCTTACAAGTTTCAAAAATAGGGATCGACATTGTTGAAGGCAAAAGGCCGGAGTTTGTTCTCTTCGTGGAGAAAGAGAGAGAGAGAGAGAGGGGGAAGGGTTTTGTTCTAGGGGTTTTAACTAACTGGAGTTTCTTTAGTGTTAGAATGCCCCTATTATAGAATATATTTACGGTTTTACCAAACACGTGATGGCATTACTCCTTTAAGGGCATTATTGTCATTCTACTTTCCTACAGGGTTAATTTCTCCGTTCGTTTTCTTTAACGGAAACTGGAAATAGCTTGGAGAATATATCATCTGATCTGGAGGTGCCACGTACTTTTCGTCAAATATAAAATTTGCTTCTAATTTATTAGTTAAAATTCACAGTCATTTTAATTATTAAGTTTATATACAAATAAACGAATTTATTTTAAATTTCATGGATTTTAATAAAAATTAGAATTTATTATTTCAATTTTACATAACAATTGTATAAGTTCAATTTTTTTTGTGATTCTAATTTTAGTACTGCTTACATATTCTTTTTATTTAAATCAAACATATATTCAGAATAAATTTAGAAATTGTGTAAAATTTATTTATAAATTTATGGTTAATTTAATTAGAATGATCTGTAAATTATACTAGATAACAAGAAAATCAAGTACACATCGAATTCTACGTAAAAGTCTATATAAAATTAAATTTTATTAATTTAGATAAGATAAAAATTATATTATACATCATATGTAGATTACCATAAACATAATCTAAAAAATATATATCTTTATATTTAATATTAAATCAATTAATTATAGTTTAAAAATATATAAATTTTTACGGTAACATGACAATGTCATTTACAACATAACTTTAATAAATTTAAAATTTTTTATGTCAATAAATTTATAATTAAATTTCATTACATCATTTTTATTAGTCTTAATTGTGTCAAAATTTAGATACTCTATTGTTATATTTTAGTACTGGGATTTTAATTGTAATATATAGTGATATTTTTTTTTATATAAACTTCATTTGAAAATTTATATTACATTTAATTATAAATGATTGATATTTTAATTATAATAAAAATTCAAGATCCAAGACAGACAGTAGAAATACAAAGATGAGCAGAATATGGACTGCATCTTTGATTATCATGTAAATTAGCCACAAATAGTTTATGGAGAAACTTAAAGCT